CCACTGAAAGCTCGGAAGTGATGAAGGTGTCAGAGATTGTTTTAAAAGGATTTTTTGTAGACCACTGGCAGAATGAAGATGTCAGGCTAAGGCGGCCAGAGGGCTCCTAAAAGACAGAGACCAAAGCCCATGAAGACATTGTGGATACTCGTGAGATGCATTGGAAGTGGAGACGTGCAACATGCAAAACACAAGAATAAAGCGTGTCTAAAAAAACCCTTTTGTTAAACTCCTGTCTCTGTCATTGCCATGTTTTCTCTTCAGGAAGTGAGTTTTCACAATCAGACTCAGTGGTGAATAACTCTATGGTTAGGCCACTGGGAGCTGGACAAGACTGAGACACAGTTTAAGAAGTCTGACTAACACATTCTGCCCAAACTATCCGATACAGACTGTCTGTCTGCTACTCCCCACCGCAGCCTGTAGTACCTGAATTTCAACTATTCACATATCTCCATTTTCTGAGGTGCCCTAGTCCCCCACTGCTTCATTGGCTATAAATAATAGAAAAACTCATCACCAGAAACTGGTATTTTATACTGGCTACAGAATACACACCAAACTTTTCACTGTAAAATTTACAAATATTAAATCTGTATGTATTTCCAAATATGCTGAAAAGTGCATGCTGAATAATAGCCAGATGCTAGAGGAAGGATAAAGCTTACCCTCTGGCAGTTGTATTCTGTATGGGGTCTATACATTGGCTCTAAAAAACCTCTAACACTGGGGGCTTTTTCCTGTGGTCAGTTCCCGGTTCCAGTGGATAAGCCAAAATGAAGTTGCCTTGCAGCCAGCTGATTTGCACCAGTCTTATCTTACCTGGTAAGCTGTTATGAATCCACTCTTAGTAGCTCAGAGCCATTTGCTGTTAGGCAACGTCGTGTGTGCCTACTTGGCATAAACCACAGAGGCAAACACCGCGCAATTCCCAGCCGGTGCCTTTCAACCTGCGAGGGACAGTTTCTGTAATCATTCTAGATCTGTATGCATTGTTCACATCTGTAGGTTCACCCGATTTGCAAGAAACACTGAAGGCCTTAATATTGTCCAAACCAAAAAATATTTGGAGGACTTGATTTAAAGAGCCCTCCGCAAGCCCAGCAGGGGAGCGTGCTTTGCTGGCCAGCCTCTTCTTCAGCCCTCCCTACTCCGCAGTCACTTTGCTCTTCTCAGCTATGAATGGACGTGTGGAATTATATGCTCTACAAAAATCTTGGTATCAAAATGCAGAAGTGTCCTCTTTTGCCTGTAGAAAATGATGTGCTCTTCTCAGCTACGAATGGACACGTGGAATTATATGCTCTACAAAAATCTTGGTATCAAAATGCAGAAGTGTCCTCTTTTGCCTATAGAAAACGATGTTTAGACATAAAACTAATCCAGCTGAAGCGCAGTGTTTTTAGCTCAAGCTCCACAAGGAGATTTGGCCTGACAGGAGACAGGATGGGAAGGGAAAGGTGCAAAAAAAAAAAAAAAAAAAAAAAAAAAAGGGAGAAA